CTCAGGGCACTCGGGGGCTGCCGGCCTTCACAGAGTAAATGTGGACCGATCACAGCAGCCCAGTGGACTGCTGCCCAGCACAGCACAGGAAGTGACATCAGACCAGCACCGCTGTCTAGTATTTGTGTGTGTCCAGGGCTGAGGTGCTGGGGGGAGACAGAGATAAGAAGAGAAAATGTTTGTCTCTAGAGCCTAATCAGAAGATTATGCTTGTCTCCAGAGGAACATAATAAAAATACTCTTACCATTGTGGGTACATAGGCTGTTTTTGGACTGCTCAGAGAACAGAGCGTTTAGGTAAAAAAGGCAGAGACGCAGCATTTGAAAAATAGAAAGAGGTGCGATTCTAGCCATAATTAGTGAAGTGGGTAGCTGGTTATGAAAAAGATAAAAATTCAGTAGATAAGAACTATAAACAAAATGAACTTTGGGCAAGTACATAGGAAGGTACCAGAGATAAAGGCCGTATTCAAAAGAGCAACAGAGCATCACAGAATGGCACAGGACACCCAGAAGATTCAGTTATTCAGTTAACACATATTTATTGAGTGCATGCTGTTTCAGGTTTGAGTGTGGTTTCAAGCACTATGGTGAGCACCGGAGTACAGTGGTGAACAAGACAGACACGTTCCCTTGGAGATTACATTCTGATGGGGAGGCCAAGAATAAACAAGTAAATGGGTAAATAAATCCACTTATAGATAAATGTATATGGACAAGTAATATAATTATTACAGTAATAATTAAAATAACATAATTCCAGACAACAGGAAGAGCTCCGAAGAAGTTAAAGCAAGATAAGGGAATAGAGCCAAGGATGGTTGTAGTTAACAGTGTGAATTTATCTAGGACATTCAGGGAAGTCTTCTCTGGAGAGGTTACATTTGAAGAGACTTGAGTTATATGAGGGAGTGGACTATGTGAGCATCTGGGGAAATACCATCCCAGGAGGAGAAAGAGCTAGTATAAAGTCCTGAGGAAGAAATAAGCTTGAAACATACCTGGAAGTAGCAAAAAGGGCTAGGTGGAGGGGTCAGAGTTAAGCAAGGAGAGAGGGGTAGTTGATAAGCCTCAAGGGGCAGACAGGTCTGGCTTATATAAGCATTGTAGGCCATTGGATTTTATTATAAGTGGGTGGAAATCCAATGAAGGAGTTGAGCAATGGTGGATGGCATAATTTGATTCATCTTTAAAAGTTCTGACTGGTTACAACATCAAGACTAGACTGAAGGGGGAAAGAAGCCAAAGTCAGGAGATCTGGTAAGTTTCAGCAGCTGTGCAAATGGGAGATGATGGGGACTTGGACCACAGGTGGTATCCATGGAGGTGGTAAAAAGATTTGGACTTGAGGCATATTTTGAAGATTGAGTCAAAAGGATTTGCTGATGGATTGGATAAGAGGTTGGAGGAAAAAGAGGACTCAGAATGACTCCTGGGTTTCTGGACTGAAAATTATGTGAAAGGAGATTCAGTTTATTGGGAGTGATGTTTTAGATATGTTAAGTTTGAAATGCCTGATGGATGCCAACAGGTGATGTCAAGAAGGTGACTAGATATATAAACTGGGAGCTTAAGAGGAAAAGTTGAAGTTGAGATATACATTTTGGGGCCATAAGTGTATAAATGTCATTGAAAGTTGTAAGTTTGGATGCAAAAATTTTGGGATAATCTAGAGAGAGGACTGGGTCCTGGAGCCTTCCAACATTTAGAAGTCAGAAGGAAGAGGAGCAAAGGAGACTGAGAAGCATTGCCAGTATCCAAAGTATGGAGGTCCAGCAAACAGGTGGAGACAGTGTTTCAAGAATGAGGGAGATATTAACTCTATCAAAAGCCAGGAGGAAACGCAAGATAGTGATAGAGATGCATACTAGATTTGGCCAGGTGGATGGAAATCTCTGCCTCTCTGTGTCTGTATATGTATACATATATGCACACACTGATGTATATACATACATATGTATATACATATAGATACACATGGAAATTGAGTAATATTATTAGAGTACCTCCTTTAAACGTATTTTTTGCACTTTTTTTAACTTATTGAATTATAGATTGACAACGTATTAGTTGTTTTAGAATGATTCAGATATTCAGATGTTCATGGGGTACCTTGTACCTCGTATTTCTTGAAATGTCAAAGGCATTGGGGGAAAGTACACATTTTTATTAGAATTTTACTGCAATATCTTATAAATTGAATATGTTCTCATTTATTTTGATCTCCTTTGGTAACAGTCATAGGGCATATGGATACAATTATTTTTTCCTATTAGAACTCAACTATTTTTGCAGTACATACATATATCAAATCGTTATGCTGTACAGTTGAAACTAATATAATGTTATATGTTAATTGCATCTCAATAAAAAATAGAATAATAAATCAACAAAAGAAATAACTCAAATATTATGAATCTATCCAGAATCAGAATAATGTCAGAATTTTAGAGTTAACAGGGATGAAAGACAAAGAGGAGTCTTAATACTTGAAAGAGAAAAGCAATTTGGTGTGATAAAAACAGGATTGGTTTTGAAGTTAGCAAAACTTGGATGTGAATCCTAGCTCCATAGTTTCTGTCTGATCTTCTGTGAGTTTGTGGAGTCTTGATTTTCTATCTATAAAATGGGGATAAATAGCACTTATCTGTTTGTGGGGATGATGAAATAAGATAATGTACATAAAGCATACATGCATGCCTGACGCGGATTAGGACTTCATGTCATGTTGGTTGCCCTCCTTTACCACGCCTGCAGTCACAGAGATAGAGTAGGAGAGCCAAGACCAGAGTCCTGGGGTCCCGACATGATTTCCAAACTTGCTCCTTTCCCATTAGTTATTGACTTTGTTCACATCTTGAAAACTGTGAATTTCTCCAGTGAGCCACCATGGTCACCATGGTGTGGAGGGGAAGGAAGAGAGGCATCTACTACCTGCTTCTTGGCTCTGTGCTCAGTCATCGGGACCCTCACATGGAAGTTGTCTGCAACGTGGGAATGATCTAAAAATGATCAGAAAAAGGCTGCCCTGTCCTTCGAGGAGTTCTCATAAAATATGGGTGTCAGTGCTCACTTGAGTAGGGAAATTAAAGGGTGAATCAGAGAGTACCATTCACCCTGTTCTGCAATTACGGGTCTTCCAAAGCACTGAGGGGCTTGTGCCAGTTTTTTGGCATTTATTCCCAAAGGAAAAAAAGTGTTTTCTCAACAGATACAAAAACTGATCAAGTTCATGCTGTCTGTCATCATTCCCCTGTCTTCCAGCCAGTACAGGCTACTTATATATATTTTTTAGTCATGTGCTTTGTGCATTGCCATCTCCACATTTTTGCCCATAACTTTCCCGTTTTTCACCCCTCCTCCTCTCTCCATCCACTGGAAATTTTCTTGCCCTCTCTTTGACACTGTGTAATGTACCCATCCTTGGAAGTTAACTGTGTTCCAACATTTTTCTGGAAATCTCAACATGGAGGAGAGCTCTCCCTCCTCAGAACAATGAGTAACTGTTCAATCTACAGGATAAAACTAGGCAAATTGACAGAAAGACCATCACTGCCCACAATTTCCTTGTGGCTGGCCATTCTTCTAAAATTTATACTGACAACAGGTAAGCCTCTTCATGGGTCGTGTTAGGTCTAGTAATGGCAGAAATAAAACTCATAGGCCTGGGTCATTTCTGTTCACAAATTATATCGTAAATGGTATGAAGCATCATAGGCAAAGGATACCTTGTGCCACTCTGACCCCTGTGCGGAGTGATGGCTCAGGGTGATACTGATGGTCAGCAGCCCATTGAAGTGAGGAATCTGTGAGGTCTAGAGTCCCCCTAGGTAAAGCGTTTTATGTTCTTCCTACTGGAAGACCATGTCATTCCAGAAACAACTCCCGCTCCCTTGTAAATCATTAAATCCGGGATTTGATTAACTTAGAGGCTAATGCTAAAACTAAAGCTTAATTATGATACCACAGAGAAGTCTTGCTCAGTGCCCGTGCCCATAGATTGACTCAGTCTAGAAGAGCCATAGTGGATGCTGATGCAGTGGGTTGCTATGCAAAGGGCATGTGCCATGGGAGCAGGTAGATTCAAGTTCAAATCCTGATTCTTGATTCAGCAACTAGTTTTGTGTTCTTGGGCAAGAGAATCAGTCTCTGTGAGTCTCAGTCTGTTCATCTGTTAAGTTGTGGCCAGTCCAGCCTCTGCGTGGTTTCACCTGGGTGCACTCATGACACTGCATTCAGCTGGTTCATCAGCTGACCACTGGTTTATATTTTCACATTTGCCTCATTTTCTTCAACTTTTAGCTGACAGCAAAACCATAAATGGAGGGACTAAAAGCAGAAACAGAGTCTGGATGATAGTCTGGCTGTATCCATTCATTTGCACCCAAAAAACTGGATGTTTATGGGAATCATGGAGCTGGACAAAGATACATTGCTGATAATTGAGTTGAAATCAAACTGACCTGGGTCTGCAAGGTGGAGATTGTCCTTGTGGCATCACCATATTGAGCAGCTGTGAAGTTATTTCTCCCAGGCCAAACTGATTGTTGAGAACTATTAGAAACATTTCCTCCTTAGGTAGCTAGCATTGACTTTTTCTTTTCTTTCCTTTTTGAGGAAGATTGGTGCTGAGTTAACATCTATGCCCATCTTCCTCTACTTTATGTGTGGGACGCCTGCCACAGCATGGCTTAGTGAGCGGTGCTAGGTCTGTACTGGGATCTAAACTGGTGAACCCTGGGCTGCCAAAGCGCAGCGCACGAACTTAACCACTATGGCACTGGGCCAGACCCTAGCATTGCCTTTAAAAAAACTAAATCTTTTTGAACCTTAATGTTATCACTTATAAAATATGGATAATATTGCCGCCCTCTCAGGATGGCTGCAAGGATTCACCACAATAAAACTGGAATGACTCACGTGTATTAGGTGTTCAGTAAGCAATGCTTTGCTTTATCTAAGGGGACAGGGTTGAGTATGAGAAGATGTGCATGCCAGGAGATACCAGAGTTCATAGGGTTTTGGGTTTTTTTTCCTATTTATACGAAGACTGTGTTCTTGCAGGAACATAAGTAGGATTGGCTCAGACAATTTTTCCACCAGTGAAGAGCTACATGATTTTGCCTGTTTAGTACCATTCATTCTGACAACTGACATGGTTTCCTGACTCACAACATTGCATCTGGTCATCCTGTCCTTAGGACACTAGTCTGGGTGGGTGAGGGCTGTGAGTATCTTGGTGCTACCCTGGCCTCTTCTATTTTCTTGCCCCCAAGTCAGAGCACTGGATGTGGTCTCTGAGAAAGCGGAGGCGGAGGTGCGTGTGGTGGGGGGGCACACTGCTGTGGTCAGCTGGTCCCCCATGTGCTTCTGACACTCCCTTTGAGGTAAGTGGAGCCACATTTCTTTCCTGGCAGCTGCAGAGCCCCAGCGTCAGTCAGCCGAGAGCTTTGAAGTTTCCTGGGGAGAAAAGGCGCTCTCTGAAGAGAAAGAATTATTATTGCTTCCTGACTTCGGTGAGTTAGCAATGGTCTGGTGAATTTGGAAAGCGGCACTTGGCTTCAAATTCTATTTTGACTTATTTTTATTTAAAAACGAAAACTCCTCTTAGTTAAATATGATTAGCAAAAACAAACAAAATAATATAGACAAAACCGTGACTTCTTTTTTTTCCCTCAGAGCTGTACAAATATATATTTGTGAATCAGAAAGTAAATAAAAGCCAATGAAAAATGGGTGTGATTCTGTAACTGTCTCATAACATGCGGCAGGAGTTTAAATAATATTGAATTCATTGACATGCTTTTTCAGTGCATCCACAGAATTTGTCTTGAACCTCTCTTCTCCTTTCGAATAGGCTTTGGCATGGGGATTGTCTCTTTGTTTTAAGACTGACCCAAATTCAGCTCTCCAGCTTTTCCCCTTGCCGTTTGTTGCCTCATCGCCATTCTCCCTTCTCCTCCTCCTCATACTGAATATTTTCTTCTCTTCTGTCTCTGTGTGAGGAATAGCTCTCTTTCTCAATTGCTTGCAAAATGTAGTTGTATTGCTTTTTGCTGGCAACAAGAATGATCGTGTGTAGACATGGGTTTTATGAATGTGAATTTTACAGTGGGCCTTTAATTGACCCACATGGAGACAGAGTGTATATGGCTGGCATAGCTGGCGGGCTTGATTAGAACATCAGTATTAGCCACAGCCCATCAGGCTTCTAACGTATATAAGCATTGTGTTAGGTGAGATGGGATATTTCAAAATATTGAAGAGACTCAATGAATGCTTGCCGAAGGTTGTCACAAGCAGACCATAGAAATCCAGAGAGGCGACATCTCTCCTTGCAGGAGTGATCATGAGAGGAAGTCTTCATGCAGGGGCGGGACTCACCTATATTTTGAACGGCACGTGGGTGTTGAGAGGTGGAGAGGAGGAAGGGTATTCTAGGCAGAGGGACTGAAGGGAGAAAGTTAGGAAGGTCGAGAATCCAGAGGTGAACTGGGGGAGAGTGAATAGACCCACTAAACTCGAGCAGAATTAAGAGTCGGGAGCTTGGAAGGTGAATGGAGAACAGCGAGCTGGGAAAAGCAAGGGTCAAGAGGCAGAAGTGGAGAGAAAATCTGGGAAAAGAAGACCCAGGTCAAACATCTAAAAATAGAACCCTAATTTAAATTAAGGGATCAAAGATTCAGGGAGAATAGAACTAACAGATTAGAGAATTGGGCAGACGTGGAATTAAAAGATAACCTTACATTGAAGGCGGGCTTGAGGAGAAGATAAGGGTTTGTGTTTCCTTCCTGACCTCAAACTCTGGCCTCTTCCTCTTCCTGCCGTCAGGCTGGCAGGGCGTCGGTCTCTTGAGGACAGATTAAGCTAGTGATTAAGCACAGGGATTTTGTTAATCCCAGGTCCGCCATATTGGTTGGGTGACCTGGGGCAAATTAACCTCTCTGTGCTTCAACTTCCCCATCAGCAAAATGGTGGAAAATAACAGGACCTACGACAGGGTTGTTGAGAGAATTAAAAGAGTCAAAGCGTATGAAGAGCTGGGCCACTACCTGGGCATGGCCTTTATTACAGAGGCTCTCCTTTGCTGAAACATGTCCTGGAAACTGGAGATTGGACATCCAGCATGCAAGGTACCTAGTGGTCCTCTGTTCTGTTAGTTTCCAGATGACATCAAAAGAAATGCATGGGTCAAAATTTCAGGTGAAATATGGAGACAACGTGAAAAGCTTGTAAGGCTACTAGTGGATTGAGAAGGTGTCACTTATTTTCTGTGTGCAGAATGCTGTACAAGTATCTGCACTCCTCTTCTCAGGAGAGGAAATTAAATCCAGTGACTGACAGAGTACTAAGTGCTTTCCCATATGTTATCTCTTTTGGTCCTTATCACTATTCCGCGAGAAAGGCATCATTATTCTCACTTTGCAGACAAGGAAATAAATTGAGAGCCATTAGGTTACAAGTCTACAGGCAAATAGTTAGTAAGCGACTCCTAAACTGTGTCCGAGTGATGAAAGCATTACAAACAATGCTTTACCCTCTTCCCTCCAAGAAAAACATGGATTTTTCTCTTGAAATTATAGAGGACCTGAGGGATTGCTCAGCATGTATTCCAACCTCTACTGTTGTGATTACAGTTCCTGAATGTCTACTGAACACTGTCGATGGCAGATGAGACATGTCCAGGGGGTGGTAGCGAATCACTCTGAACGACTTAGCATGCGTGTTCGTGAATCAAGGGCATAGGTGTCAACACTGTCCTTCCCTGTCTATGGAAAGGAGAAAATGTCTCATCGGGAGGTAAACTGGTGTGTGACGGTATGTTTTGTAAAACTGTGTCACTGAGCTAGATTCTTCTGATAACCAGTTCATTTTGAAAACTTTGTACGAGCAAGGAAAGGTTTTTGGTACCATAGTTAGTACCTGGTTCATATTGTGAAAACAGGCTGCCCTGCCTGGATCCTCACCCTTCAGTTGTTTGGGTTCCCAATTGGCCACCAGCCTCGTAGGGTTCTTAGTTGATCCTGCGTCAGCTGTCAGAGATCCCTTGCTGTCACTGGCATACGTGTCGGGGAGGAGAGGAGCCCTGCGTCTGGGGCTCCCCACCTGGGGACTCATGTCACTTTTGCCCAAGGGGAGGGAGAAGGGGTTCATGGGCCTGTCTACAGCTTAGCTCTGGGGTTTGCCCCGCTGCCATCCACCTTCCTATAGAGAAGGGCAGCGGTGAGCCTGGTTAGAGTGTGATTCTGCGAAGGAGGTGTGGGCATAGTGTCCTTCCTTTGGTCCTCAGGGTCTGTCCCTGCTGATGTCCTTTCAGACATGGAGTGAGCCTTAAGTCCATTGTTTGAGGCAGCAAAATATCATTTCATGCTACAAAACTCTGGCCGGCTACTCCCTGTTCAAGTTCACAAGCTGAAGAGTCTTCCTTAAACTGACTGTTCTTAAGTTTCTTGACAGGGATTTTTAGTCAAGGCATTTAAACTTCTCATTCCAAGTGTATTTATTTAAATGGAAAACACGTGTTCAAAGAAAAATAACTAAAGGCTACCAAAGGCATATGTGAAAACTGTGTATTCCACTCACCTCTTTGCTCAGGCCCCTAATTTCCCACTCTTGAGGTCATCACGGTTACCTGGTTCTTGTTCTATTTTCTAGAGATATTCTGTATACAAACAAGACTGTATGGATAAAGGTCTTGTTTTTATTTTTGTTGTTTTGGTTTCTTTTCTTTTACTTTCTTTCTTTTTACCCGTATGACTCTTTAAAAATTTTTTTTTCATTTAATGAAGTATCTTGTAGGGCAATTCTTATAGACCTGTGTATTATTCAGGGTTCTTTAGAGAAACAGAACCAATAGGATCTATTATAAGGAATTATGTATTGTAAGGAATTGGCTCACATGGTTGTGGAGGCTGACAAGTCCCTAGATCTGTAGTTGGCAAGACCCGAGAAAAGCTAATGTTTCAGTCTGAGTTCAAAGGCTAGAAGAGACCAGTGTCCCGGCTCCAGGAGTCAGGTGGGAGGAGTCCCCCTTATTTGCGGGAAGTTCAGCCTCTTTATTCCATTCAGGCCTTCAGCTGATGGGATGAGGGCTTCCCATATTAGGGAGGACAATCTACTTTACTGAGTCTACCAATTCAAATGTTAACCTTATCCAAATACACCCTCACAGACGCACGCAAAATAGTATTTGACCAAATATCTGGGCACTTCGTGGTCCAGGCAAGTTGATACATAGAATTAACCATCATAACCTGTCTTCTCTTTCTTTTTTTTTGATTGTAATTTTTTTTAATAGACAAGTTTTTAGAGCAGATTTAGATTCATAGCAAAATTAAGCAAAGAGTATGGAGATTTCCCATATATTCCCTGCCCCCACATATGCCCATACACACAGCCTACTCCACTATCAACATCCCCCACCAGAGTGGTGCATTTGTTACAATCAGTGAACCTACATTGACACAACAGTATCACCCGAAATCCATAGTTTACATTAGGTTCACCCTTGATGGTGTACATCCTAGGGGTTTTGACAAATGAGTCATGACATGTAGCCACCATCATAGTGTCATACAGAATAGTTTCCCTGCCCTACAAATCCTCTGTGCTCTACTTATTTATCCCTCTCTCTTTCCTAACCCCCGACCCTTTTACTATCTCCACAGTTTTGCCTTTTCCAGAATGTCATATAGTTGGAATCATATAATATGTAACCTTTTCACATCAGCTTCTTTCACTTAGTAATATGCATTTAAGGATCTTCCATGTCTTTTCATGGCTTGATAGCTCAGTTCTTTGTAGCATTGAATAATATTCCATTGTCTGGATGTACCACAGTTTATTTATCAGTTAGTTTACTAATGGGCATCTTAATTGCTTCCAAATTGGCAAACTGATCCGAACTGGCAAACCTTGGGCTGCCGAAGCAGAACGTGCGAACTCAACCACTGCGCCACCGGGCTGGCCCCGAGATACTTTATTTTATTTTTTTGCATAATAAGCCTTCAAAATCTAGTGTGCATTTTACACTTACAACACATCTCAACTTGGGCTAGCCACATTTTAAGTGCTCAATAGTCACATGTAGCTAGTGGCTATTGGCTACCACGTTGGATATCACAGGTCTACATAGGACCTGTTCCAGTGGTAAGTCTTATTTCTGAAATCATTTATAGAATATCCCAGAAAACGGTGCTAGACCATTTATGAGATGGCTGAGTGTGGATGAGTGAGAGAGCTCAGGGCTGAAGACAAGAGACCTGAGCTCTATTCTTGGTAACATACAAACTAGCAGAGTGAATGTATGAACTTTGCTCTACCTTTGTATTTTGGTTGCTTTCTCTTTAAAATGAAAGTCATAATACTTGTTTTACTCACCTTGCAGAATTGTTATGAGACTCAGAAGAGATAAAAGGTATGAAGGTGCTTTGAAGAGTTGAAAGCATGTTAAATATGATGTAATTGCTTAAGTGGAGCCAGCCATTCAGCAGTGGCTCTGTTCCCAGTGCTGCCA